CCCCTCAAATTTCAGAAGAAAAAGGTTTGTCCCTCATCTTATCTATAAATGCTTTTTTATAAATAAGTAGAAAAATAATCCATTCAACAAAAAATGTATAGCTGAATGGCAACTGTAACAGTCAAGTCTATCTAGGTAGATCTAGGAGTTTCTTACCAATACTGAACCTTCTCTGATTAACTTATTTTGTCAAGAATACATTAAAGAGGAAACCAAAACTCTGTTATTTACATTATTTTTTTTAACTCTAAAGCTTATGTTAGTGTCTTACTGAATGAATGCCTCTAACGTACAGTAGTAACGGAACAGGATGTTTCTTTACAAGTAACTAAAAATGTTGTTGTTCAAAGGTGTTTTCACAGCTAAATAAAATCATGTTTTTCTTATGTACAATATTTTTTGGTGGTATTTTGCTCTGCATTTTTACAGTTCCTCCAAAGATCCTGCCATCTTCTAGTTGCACCAAAACTCCAAATCAGATCAACTGTTCCTGTGAAATCATGGGAAACCCTCCCATGTTGCAGTGGATTTTTAATGGGCAACCTGTCAACCAATCTGGGAAGGTTTTTGCCATCAGGGACTCTAGGAATGGCACATACCTGAGGAGCATCATTGCTTTTAATCAATCACAGGAGAGGAACATATCCTCGTTGCTTTGCTTCACCTTCAATTCATTGGGATCAGACAGCAAACAGCTTTTCATAATGTTCCCTCAGATTTCAGCAAATAATCAAGGTTTGTCTATTTTATCCATAGTTTTTTTTTTCTACTATACATAGAGCAGATATTTAGCAAGGATTTTACCTTTTCACGCAAAGGAACAAGTTTAATAGCAAAGACTACCTGAGTAACATCTTATGCACTGTGGTTTAGATTTCTGTTGGATACCAAAACTGGTCACTTCTCCTTTGACAGCTGCGTTTGTCTTAATTACCCTCCTGATTTTATAATCTTTCAATTAGCCCTCACGTTTGCAAGTTACAGACTTAAAATCAATACTTTTGTTTATAATTTTAATTAAAAAAATTAATGAAATATTGTGATAGAACAACAATTCACCCATATAAAAGGATTTTTTTTTAATTGTTCATTTTTTTTCTTTATCTAGAACCTAGATCAGTTATCACAAATCGGATTCTTTTGTATACTGTCATGTTGGGGTTCAGGTTTCTAACCCACATGCAGAAAACCAAGGAGTAAGAGTAAAAGTTTAACAATTTATTGTTGATATGCACAAGGTTGATTGACAGATACTGGAATCAGATCCGGGACTGATCACACAAGGCTCTCTGCAAAGAGGGACAGTTAGGTTAGCCAGGCAGCTAATGATCTTGAAGCTGAGAGAATGTGCAGATCTGTACCTGTTCTGAGATTCAGGCTGAGCGGCAGAGGGAGGGAACCAGGAGGGTCTAGAGACTGATCGATGGCAGAGGGCTTAGCAGCTACAGAACTTAGCTTCAGGCTTGAGTGTTCAGAGCTTCTCCAAGTTGCTTCTTGAAGGATGGTAGGCAGATCCAGACAGTTTGATCTTCAGGTTTGTTACTGAGTTACTAGGGCGCCCTCTGCTGGAGAAAGGTGGACAGATCTCCAGATCCCAACAGATACTGTAGTTATTCTTAAACCAACATTTTAACTTTCTGTATCAAAAGGCATCTGCTATATCAAAGTCATGTTTTTTTTTTATGAATTTTGAAACCACATAGTTATACAAAAGAATACATCGGAGTGATCACAAATATCTAAATTTATATTTATCTAAAACCACATTGTTTTAATTTTATTTGCATGTTCATGAAAAAACTGCAAAAAATTAACATGTTTTCAACACAACTTTAAACATGTTTTCTTCAATTTAAAAGAAACTTTATATTTATAAGTGTCAATGTGATCTACTCTTTTACAGTTCCTCCAAAGATCCTGCCATCTTCTAGTTGCACAAAAACTGCAAATCAGATCAACTGTTCCTGTGAAATCATGGGAAACCCTCCCATGTTGCAGTGGGTTTTTAATGGGCAACCTATCAACAAATCTGCTCAGAATTTTGCATTCAGTGAATCTAAGAATGATTCATATCTAAGGAGCATCATCACTTTGAATCAGTTACAGGAGAGGAACATATCCTCGTTGCTTTGCTACAGCTTCAATTCATTGGGATCAGACAGCAAACAGCTTTTTATCAGATCCCCTCAAATTTCAACAGAAATGCAAGGTTTGTCTGTCATCTGTAAATAATTTTTTATGAATAACTGAAAAATCAAGTATTTAACTAAGATTTTATAGCCAGACGGCAACAGTAACAGTCAAGTTTACCTTAACAGCAATTTACAGACAGGGCTGTAGACCTAGCACTTTTATTGCAATACTTACTTTGTTAAGAATACTTTATAGGAGGCAATTACTCAGCTGTGTTCATTTACATATCTTTAAACTCAAGCTTGTGTCTCACTGAATGAATGACTAACATGTAGTATTAAAGCTACAGTGTGTAATAATTACAGGGATATACAGTCAGAAATGTAATATATTATACATAACTATGTTATTTATCATCATCTACGAGCTCAGCCTCTTAACCTTAATATTTGCGTTGCCTTAGAATTCGTTATTTATAATTACATAGGAGCGGGTCTCGCAGCCATGGAGGCGGACATCTTTGCGCTACGGCAGCGCAGAGCCAACAAACTAGTGATTGCGAGATCGCCCATTACGCTCGAAAGTAACTACGGCAAGTTGTTTAAGTCTACATGAAATCTATACCCTACACAGACTAATGAAATACTATCTGTAAAATTATCTATGTAAACAAACCTCATCACTTGAGAAGGTAGGTGATGCGGACGTCGTGGAAGACATTTTGTCCCGTAACGCTCGCCGTACTGTTGGGGGGGAGAAGCAGTGGGGGGGAGATGTTCATGTTGCTGCGGTCTGCAGTCTGGACGTTAGATGTCGCTGAAAATTACACACTGTAGCTTTAAACAAGAGGATGTCTCTGTGAAAAAATAAAAATAACTAAAAATATGGTTCATCGTCGATGTTTTCAAAACTGAATTAAAACATGTTCTTCAGTGGGAACACTTTATGTAAAGTATTTTTAGGTGGTATTATCTTCTTCTTTCTTACAGTTCCTCCAAAGATCCTGCCATCCTCCAGTTGCAGCAGTACAACAAATCAGATCAACTGTTCCTGTGAAATCATGGGAAACCCTCCCATGTTGCAGTGGATTTATAGTGGGCAACCTGTCAACCAATCTGGGACGGATTTTGCTATCAGGAACTCTAGGAATGGCACATACCTGAGGAGCATCATCACTTTGAATCAGTCACAGGAGAGGAACATATCGTTGCTTTGCTTCAGCTTCAACTCATTGGGATCAGACAGCAAACAGCTTTTTAAAAGATCCCCTCAAATTTCAGAGGAAAAACAAGGTTTGTCCCTCATCTTATCTTTAAATGCTTTTTTAGGAATAAGTAGAAAAATAATGTATTCAACAGAAAAATTTATAGCTGAATGGCAACTGTAACAGTCAAGTCTATCTTAACAATTTACAGACAGGGTAGTAGATCTCAGACTTCCATACCAGTACTGAATCCTCTCTGATTAACTTTTGTCAAGAATACATTAAAGAGGAAACCAAAACTCAGTTGTTGTAAAGCTTATGTTAGTGTCTTACTGAATGAATACCTCTAACATACATTTTTGGTGGTATTTTGCTCTACTTTTTTTACAGTTCCTCCAAAGATCCTGCCATCTTCTAGCTGCACAAAAACTGCTAATCAGATCAACTGTTCCTGTGAAATCATGGGAAACCCTCCCATGTTGCAGTGGATTTTTAATGGGCAACCTGTCAACAAATCTGCAGAGAATTTTGCATTCAGTGAATCTAAGAATAATTCATATCTGAGGAGCATCATCAGTATGAATCAGTCACAGGAGAGACACATGTCCTCCTTGATCTGCTTCAGTTTAAATTTATTAGGAGCAGACAGCAAACAGCTTTTTATCAGATCCCCTCAGATTTCGGCAGAGATTCAAGGTCTGTATGCCATTTTTTCTTTAAACCGTTCTAATGAATCATTTAGAAAAATCAATAAAAAAAATAATAATGCTGCAGCTTAATGGCAACATTAACTTTCAACTTTACCTTTACCGCAATTTTTAGACAAAGAAGCGGATCTGGACTTGCGCACCAATACTGAATACTTCTTTGATTAGCTACTTTTGAATAAATTAAAGAGGTCAAGAATACATTAAAGAGGTAGTAATTAGTCAGTCACGAATATCTACATTTATCTTAAAACACTCAAGATTATGTTTGTCTCACTGCATGAATGATTTGACATGCAGTGGTAAAGCATTAAGATGTCCTCAGACTGGCTCCCTGTTGCTAAGAGAATAGACTTAGAATCATTGTTGGTGTATAAATCACTGAATGGATCAGCATCTAAATACATAACAGATTTGTTGTCTGTGTATCAACCTCCCAGACCACCATGTTCTTCTAGTTCAAGCCAACTCTCTACACCCAGAACTAGAACCAAACATGGAGAAGCAGCATTTAGTTCCTATGCTTCACTTATCTTGAAGAAAATTCCAGAAGACTGTAGTGCTGACAGCCTGAGTTATCTCAAGTCAAATAAAAAAAACCCATTTGATTAAAACTGCTTTTGATTGCTGAAGTTTAACCTTAAACCGAGGTATTATTAGTTTAAGTATGTGATTCAACTTTTTTAATTGTTCTACATGCTTTTCAGATGTTTTACTGTATCTTTACTTTCTTTTATTATTCTATTTTACTGTTTAATTAATTTAAAGCCCTCTGAATTGTCTTTATACCAAATTTTGCTATACAGATAAACTTGCCTGACCTTGTCTTTTTGAAATGCATACAAATTTTGTTCTTAATAGGTGTTTGAACAGCTAAATAAAATCATGCTTATCTTCAGTTGGAAAACCTTATTAACATTGTTTTCAGGTGATATTTTGCTCTACATTTTCCTCAGTTCCTCCAAAGATCCTGCCATCTTCTAGTTGCACCAAAACTCCAAATCAGATCAACTGTTCCTGTGAAATCATGGGAAACCCTCCCATGTTGCAGTGGATTTTTAATGGGCAACCTATCGACAAATCTGGGAAGGTTTTTACTATCCGAGACTCTAAGAATGGCACATACCTGAGGAGCATCATCACTATAAATCAGTCACAGGAGAGGAACATATCCTCGTTGCTTTGCTTCAGCTTCAATTCATTGGGATCAGACAGCAAACAGCTTTTTATCAGATCCTCTCAGATTTCAGGAGATACACAAGGTTTGTTTTTATTTCAATTATTAATTGTGTGTGTGTGTGTGTGTGTGTGCATATATATATATATACACACACATCATCTCAGAATATGTAAGAAAGTATTCTCTGCATGTGGCAAGTTTAATAACCTAGTCTACCTAAATAACATACCAATACTGATCACTTCTCATTCCTTAGTTGCTTTTCTCCTTAATATGCATAAATTAATGCATGCTAATCAGAATTAAGTATTCTCTTGCATGAAGGAGGGAAATTGAAAACAAAAGCCAAAGGATTTTTAATGAAAAACGTCACAAATGTTATTTATCACAATGGTTTTGAAGCGGATTCAAACATTACAGCATTTTGGAAACTTTACAGGGCATATTCCAAGGTGGAATTTAATATTTACTTCTAATTTTTTTATAGTTCCTCCAAAGATCCTGCCATCCTCTAGTTGCACCAAAACTGCAAATCACATCAACTGCTCCTGTGAAACCATTGGAAGCCCTCCCATTTTTCTGTGGATTTTTAATGGGAAACCTGTCAACCAATCTGGGAAGGATTTTGTTATTAGTGCTATCAGTGACTCTAAGAACAACACATATCTGAGGAGCATCATCACTTTGAATGAATCACAGACGAGAAACATGTCATCTTTGCTCTGCTTAAGCTTCAATTCATTGGGATCAGACAGTAAACAGCTTTTTATCAGAACGCTCCAGAATGCAGCAGAACTGCAAGGTTTGCCAATCAATGTTTCCTCTGTTTTTAATTGAATAATGTATTTTGTCCATTATTTGTTTAAAACTGAAAGAGCAACAGTGATCAATGAGTCAAAAGAAAACATTTTGTTTATTGCAATAAGACAGAACTGGATTTTTAAAGGAATTTATGTAGTCGCATGGGACAATTGAATTCGAATATCTTTTCAAACTACACATTCTATCATCTAAAAAATGTCTTCATCACCTGCATCTTCATTTAATTATGTAGACAGTGCTGAGTCCAGCTTAAGCTTTCTGTTTGTGTGAACAATTTCTGTGTTGGTTAGAACAAACCTTTTGACAAGCTCAGAGATTGATCCTGGCAGGATCTGCACTAAACATGTTTCAACATCCTGTGGCAGCAAATAATTTTAAGAGAGCATTTTGAATATTCCAGTTAGAAAAAAATGGTAAAGAAATTGATCTATTCTTTCAATCCATGAACCTCTCAAATCAATCCCACTAGCACAGTGTATGTTGGGTAACATAAGATCTGAGATTTTTCTGTCAGAAATGCTTGTTTTGAATTTTTTTTATATAATTGTATATGGTTAATATTGATACTAAAAGGGTTGGTAAGTTATGGCCAACATTTTCAGTCTAAGGGTTTTAATATCTATTTTTTCTTGCATTTCAGATAAAAAGCAGACGCCTTTGCTCATCGGCACAACTGTCATCTTACTAGTTCTAGTATGTGTTTTGCTGTTCGTTATCAGGTAGGTTAGTGGTTAAAAATGAACCAATCTATTGTATTCTGGACTGACTGACAAGCACTTCAGGGATACTATTTAAGGTTGCAAAAAAAATTCTACCGTACTTTAGCGTAACAGCATAGCAAATAATTACTTTAATTGCAAAGTTCTGGTCTTTAGATATTTGTCTTCTATGTCTGTCATCAGATAATAAACATGCATATTAATTTCGGATTGCAATTTACAGGTTTCAGAAGTCTCACCGTTTCTGGGAAATTAAAACACTTGAAAGAAAAAGGACAAAGGTAAATTGTCTTTAGGTTTTGTCATATTACTTCATTTTATAATCATTTTTAAACTTGGATTTTTGTTAATTTTAGGTGCAAAACACAGCTGAGGACATTGCTTCCAGCACAATTAAGCTGAAAGATAACGGAATTGCCCATTCAGGTTATGGTGGAGCTGAATAAAGATGTTAGTTTAATGATTTATTTTTGCTTTTACTAAACAAATTAATTATGTAAAATAATGTAGTTTCCATAACACATTTGCCGATAAAGTGGTTTGATTTGATTTTTGTAATAGTGTTTATACAATAATATTTCTGCTTAAAGGATTTGAGAATTCTCATTTTCATACACTTGTTCTTAAAGTTAGCCATGATACAATGTTGCTAAATGTTACTTTTGGAAGAATGTTACTCCAAAAAAAAAAAAAAGAAGAAATCATTTGAATTTATAAAAATCATAAAAGGAAAAGTTTTATAAACATTTCTTAAATGCTTCATGCCATAGTACTTTAAAAATAGTACTTACTTTAATGCTTCTCCGGCTTGATGTTTTACTTGTTGTTGGACTTTTATACTTTATATTTAATTACTTTAACACAATTGTTTCAGGTCCTATCCTGCTAGCATGAAACAATTGTGTTAAAGTAACAAAATATCCATAAGCAGATGCGAAAAATGCATGAAGTATTTTTTTCACTTACCCAGCTAATCTGGAAAGCAAGATTGATAAGTGTAGCACTCAGGTTTAGTCCTACACATTATTAATCTTGGACTCCTTAGATCGAATATGTCTGGGGGAAAGGAGGGACATGCAGCAGGAACTTCCAAACTAATTAGGTGAAGTGACGCCTAGTGCCTGTCTAACAAAGTTTTAGCCAATCATAGTAACAACTGAAAGTATCAGACATCATGAGAAATAAAAGTAAGCTTACCGATCTTTTTTTAATGATGAAAATCATAAACTCTAACAGATATATCAGCACCTTCCTTTTCCACTGCCATGATTATTTTGTTTCAGCAGAAAGGGGAAAAGGCTATCCAGACCTGAGAATTGATTTGTAATTTGTGTATGTAATTTGCAATTTATAAACAATAAAAAAAATGGTATATAAATACATTGAAATGAATTGTTTTAGTCTCCTATGCACACTGTTTGGGCACTGTATTGTTTATTATAAAAAAATCACTTGTATTTCAGCTTTCGTATTGGGTTGTATAGAAAATATTTTATAGTTTGATAATAGTTTGGCAGAGAGGGAATTAAGTTTGAAAGAAGTTCAGTTCCAATAGGCACAAAGGGCAGCCCTGAGTCCTCAGAATCATTCTTGGGAACACATGTAGTTTAATATCGCAGCCTTGTGTAAAGCACATCAGACTTCGGCCTCTTTGTATTTTTAGACAAAACGGAGATTAAAACACTGTTTTACAACCAATGCATGCGTTGACATCTCCATCGTTCGAGCGTGGAACAATAGTAAAAAAGTGGACCGACCCCAGGGAAATCCGGCTCTAGGCCAATCTGAACGAGAAGACACCATTTTAAATCTGATAACTAGTATTACCATCTAATTGAAGAATCTCTTAAACCAGTCTGAGTCTTTCTATATGTGACCTGCAAAGCGGGGGACTTTTTAAAGAAGATGCACCATAACACAGAATAGACAACAATTTTATTAAACAATTTATATAAAGACGTTTCTTTTGTTGAAACATGGCTTCAGGCCTACTACTCAGTCCCTGGAAAGAAAAGGGTGTTACATCGAGCTGCGTTTCCCCATCAGATACGGTTTCCCCTGCATCTCCATACCGTGTAGGTGGCATCATTCACCGCGCAAGCAACATAAAACGCACATGCTCCCTAAAGCCGCCCTGTGTTCGCGCCACAGGAACTACGGAGAGCATGAGTGATCAAATGTTAGCCTTTATGGAGAAAGGGAGAAATCGAGATGGGTAGATAGATGTTGCAGTATCTATAACAACCCAAAACACAGCATTTTAGAAGTAGATATCCCCAATTAATAATTGCATACACTTACCAGATCTGAACGCCCTGTTAAAAAAACTTTACACCCATGAGTAGAGGTAATGCAGCCTGATGATATTTACACCGCATCAGATACCGTTCCTCCATGTCAGACGGGAAACGCTATCTGACAGGGTGTGGTTACCCATGTGTAGCGTGCAGTGTCTGAAATGGATTGATTGACTGACTCTGTCAAATTACAGTATATAAGTGTTCTGTTCTTGTGCTCATTAGATGTAAATGTTGCACTTTCAAAGCTTTTTGTAGGAGCCATAATGATACAGTTGGTGTGAATGTGTATGTGACGGCTGATTTCTTAAATGGGTGTGTTTACCTGCACTCCGGAGGAGAGAGGGGAGCGGGGTAGCCGTATCTCTTGTTGACCGTTTGCGTTATGATCTAAATCCATATGTCAGATCATGTATGTTGTGACTGACTATATAAGCCTCTGAACAGGATTAAAACACCAAAAGCTTATTTCTGGATTCCGTGTGCATTTCTGATCAATACGGCAGCACGTCATACACATACAGGACCCTATCTCCACCTCTCAAGTAACAAGGATTGCTATGGAGTCGCTACAATTTGTCAACAAGAAATGGCCTTTAATGAAAGCCATCACTCACAATTCAAGCCACAAATGCATCAGGTGAATTCCAAGTACTGTAAGTGCCTGCTGCACCAAAGTTAATGTGGAAACGCGCCACACCCAAACATCATTCATTAAAGAACAGGTAAGCCACCTGTCTCATCTGTTTGTGAAAAGGAGTCCATGTGGATTACTGCTGGAGCGTTCTTATCCCTCCGCTTCAGAATGAAACTGCTGATCGGTTTAAGGATGACGTGCAATGAGGGTTCTGCGCACACTTCATTTGCTTATTGTGGTATGAATAGTGCGACGCTTTGGAATTTCCAAGGATTATGATTTTTTGTTGAAATTGAGTACAGTACTCTGTTTATCACAAACTGAGAATCTATGACTATTTGATATGTTTTAATGAAAAACAAAATGGAATAAAACAGAAATCAAATGGTGATATTTTGCACCCTGAAACAGTGTGTGAAAAGAGAAAGCAAACCTACTGAGAAGAGTTTGATGTATATGGTTGAAAGACTGCAAAATTAACGCAAACGTTTTGTAAATAAAATGAAAGGACTGATACCAGAAATAAAAGAATTATTGAAACAAAAAGAGAATGTGGCTCAAATAAAAGAATTTCTGGAAAGGTTGGAATAGCTGTGTTAATGTGCTTGTACTGCTCATGATCAATTGTTGCTTCTACTGCCACAGGAAGAAGTTGAGAAACAAGTTGAATGGTTGTCAAGCATAATGAAATACACAGAAACTTTTCAAAATGAAATAAAACAATGGATAAAGGACACCGAACAACACAACAGTTCACATGAACAACAGGATATAACTGAAACAAATAAATCCAGGCATATTGTGGAGCAAAGAGGAACAAATGAAGTTTTATTAAACATTTGTGATATAAATGGAGATGACATTAAACCAAGTGACAGCATTTCAAATGTGGAATCTCCTAAATCTTCATGCAACATCTCCACAACTTCTGCACGTTTAAGAGCTGAAGCTAAAGGTGATGCTAAATAACTTGTAAGATGTTGCCAACACTTAAATCCAGATCATGAATATTCAAGAGCCAAAGCTTTATTAAATGAACAAATTGGGAATGAGCAGAAGGTTGCACATTGCTACATGGACAAAGCTCTTTCATTGCCGACGATAAAGTCAGAGGATGTGAAGGCTCTACAGGACTACAGCCCATTCCCCAGAAGCTGCTGTAATGTAATGGAGGATATGCAGTATCTTCATGATTTGGACATGCCTTTTAATATGCTGAATATCATAAAGAAGCTGCCATACAAGCTGAGATACAGATGGACAACTAAAGCATGTGAGCTACAGGAATGTCAAGGAAAAAGAGTTTTGCAGATTCCCTTGAAAAACGGGTCAACATTCTGACAGATCCTGTCTTTGGCAATATACAAGATTCTCTAAAGATAATAAAGTATCATACAAGCCAAAGTTAATGCCTCGGTCCAAAGGAGCCAGCTTTGAACCAGTGGAGAACAAATCTCAGCCTGTGAAGGAAGAGAAAAAAATCAGAATAAATGGGATGAATAGATGTATTTTCTGTGGAGCACTGTTGGGGAAAATAGCACTTGAGAAGATTGATTTCTTAAAGTAAAATGGCATATGCTTTGGCTGCTTGTGTATAGGACACATTAGTAAGCACTGCCGTAGTGTTAATTTCGTTAACGAAAACTAAACGAAAATATTTTCGTCAACGCACATTTTTCACCGAACGAAAACTAGATGAGACGAGATTAAAATCCCCACTAATAAACAATAACTGGGAGTAAATCAGAAATAATTTTCATAGACTAATAAAGACGAGACAAAAATGCAGTTCGGTAAATAAAGACTGGGCTAAAATCTATGGACGCTTTAGTTCACGAACAAAGACGAGACGAAAATTATATATTATATGATATGGTTTTGTCAAATCCTGTCTCCTCCCCCCCCCTCCTTGTCAGCTCTTCCGCCACACGCCCACTTTCAAACCTGGAGCGGGGCGGGCAAAGAGTAGCCTACATAACTCATGGAGCAGACAGGAGCTGGATTCACGGCGAGGCGGTGACAGGTTAAAAGCGAAACATGCTTTGCACGGGGCTGGGGAGAAAGAGGAGACGTGATGTATGGACACATTTTCGCTTCATTGAAGGGGAGAAAAAAAACAAATGCTTGATTTTAGTCGAAGGGAAGGAATGTGGCCACATGGTAGCTGGAAAAAACACAACAAAGCTGAAGAGACATCGCAGTTCACCACAAAGACATTTCGGTAAGTTAACAGAAAGATTGGTGGTGGTTGTTTATAATGTAACATTAAATCACCGGCTATAATGTCCCAATGATAAACTAACTAATGTTGGCTAACTTTCATAGCATTTAGTATCCAGGCTGGCTACGTTACTTTAGCTTCTTAGCACGTAGCGACCGTAGCCACTTGTTGATAGAATTGTATGTGAAGTTAAATTAATGCTAACTTAGATATGTTATACTGGCCGGGTAACTATAGTTTCATTTAAATTGCAAGTTTGATTAAAGCAGACAAACGCTTTAGGTAATCTAG